GATTAACCCCAGCGAAGTGGAAACAGACTGCAACTTTGTGCCCCTTAGATTGGCCGTCAAATTATAGCCTGCTCAGGCTTTGGCACACAACCAAGAGTTTCCACCAGTATGCTGCACAACTCAAACAACAGATGCAGCATCGGCATATGTTCTCCCACTGGGAGATCAATCGCATCAGGTTTGCAAGTAGAGTACTCTTTCAGCGACCAGCTCATTATGCTCCGGAGGCCACACTTATGCAACATGTGCAAGCACGAGAATTTCCAAGTCGGAGACTACGAAAGTGAACGCCAGATGATGATCAAGTAGCCTTTCGGGACAAGTGCAACGATCTGCGGCTTCGTGCCGAAGAGCATGAAGCGCTGCATCCTGTTTCCTTCGCAATCGGCAATAGGTGGAATGAGACGCTTCGATCTGATAAACATTTTGAGTAAGTGATAAAGGGTTCAACTACACAGTGTAATGCCTTCTACAGTGACATGATGCACGAGCACAATATCTTGTGTTACGAACTGTGTGTTGGCAGATTACCCAACTGGGACCCAATGCTGGCTCTTCCAGTGTCAAGAGGCAGCGCTTGCTCAGCGTGTGCACTACTATGAGAACAAGTCCGCAAAGGGTGAGAACCCTTGACAGGGTGTCCTGGCGCTAGCGTCAGGCATACCTTTGAGAACTCCTCTGCCCTTACGGTAACACAAAAGAGACAACACTGAAGATTGGCAAGTTTCTGCAGCTCAAACAAGAAAGTGCACACAGGCGATCTCGTCGAGTAGTGGTATAATGCCCGTCTCAGGACCGTGCATAGACAGCTAGCCGCGGATCGATTCCCCCCGGGTACGGGGCCGCGATCGTGACGTGGTAGACGAGTAAGTCTCAATACACCGCGACCCGCCGAAAGGCACAGGGCGCCGGTCAAAAAAATCAAACAAGAAAGTGCACACATCACGACTCAAGAGCGACATAGGCCGAGACGCCAAATCGTGGCTTCTTAGGATTTGTTGTCGCCTGGGGTGTTTTGTTTCTGTGTTGGCCAGCCCCGCTTACTGTTGTTTTTTTTTGTGAAGGGGAGACACGTTTCTGGCTGGGGGAAGTGTGCCTCGCCGCTCTGCTTGGTGGTGTTTCTGTTGGTTTCTTTGGTTCTCCCATACCAACTATTTTTAGTTGGATGCAATGTCAATGCCGGCTGCGGCTTTTCACCGCTGTGTAATTTAGCTCGTTCATTTTGTAAAGGACCGTGCCTTTGAACAATGACGGCCAAATCTGAGGAAAAAAATGGCAAACGAGTCGAAACTTGGACTTGGGCTCGACCAACCCACCTAAGTTCCACCACCGGTAGAAATGACTCCGATGGGATGGTGCCTATTTAAATGGGTCAATTTAGGTACAATCATCTCTAAGTCTGTACACCTCGCATTCAAAGCCCATTCAGTAGTGCTTCAGTTCGAAATTTGGAATGGATTGAAGAGAGTGGCGCCCCCCCGCAGGGGCACTCAGACTCCATTGCAGCATCCAGCAGCCATCGGATCGACAGCTAGCAACCCCCAAGCAGGGCTCTCAGACACACGTTACAAAGCTCCAGCAACCAGGCGATCTGGGCCAGACCACTTCGGGCCTGCACTGCGACCACTATCAGTCAGTGTGGAGGTCCGCCGAGTGTCAGAGACCAGCTGTAAAAGGACGATGAAGCTCAAATAACACAGGTGAAACAACCACATCAGAAATTCAGTTCATTCCTTTGCTTGCGAAAGAAGCAGCCCTTTGAAGGGCCCAAGTTCCGACTCGTTCGCCCAATGACGCTTCATGTTGTTCACCCTTACACCACCTGGTTACAACACCAGCCGCAGTTCCTACCTGAGCGCAGACAATGATAATCTGATAGTCTTATCAGCCTGAAGATGCAAATTGATGCTGCTAAGCAATTGGCCAGTGCAGTATATAAAGCAGTTGTGCACTTACATATGGTGTGCGAGAACCTTGAAGAGATTGCAATGAAGAAGGCAAAACTGAGAGACACAGCCCAACAAAAGTGTGGCCAGTAAATCCCCGCCGGAAGAGGGTGACATCGAGGACATGGCAGCACCAGCTACCTAGAGAGGCATATTGAATGGTGAGCGATGCTGGCCCAGGAGGGCCAGGTATGTTGCTCGTGAGTACGCTTGGCTGACTCCAGAGCGGCAGGATCTTCTCAGCCCTGCCTCCAGCAATGTGACAAATCGACTCCTGCTCAGCTTGTTCTTACATTGGAAGAAGCAACACCCTACCAAAAGTTTCATGCTCAGTGCCATTGACATTGGCGATGCATTTTTGACAGTGGATCAAGTTCAGCCGACACTGGTTTCCTCTGGAAAAGATACCTTTGCACTCGGCAAAGTTTTGCCGGGTCAGTGTGATGGAAACCAGCTCTGGTTTGAAGGTGTCAGCGGATTCTTGCGTGAGCGGCTCAGCTTCAGACATTGTGATGCCTATCCCGGTCTTTTAGGCAATGAGGAGTGTTTGTCCTTTTTGCATGTTGATGATATGCTTGTTTTGACAGAGCAGCAGTACTTTGGCACGAAGCTCATGCCGAGCCTGAGTGGCAAGTCAGTGGCAAGTATAAGATTTCCGTCCACTCCATGAAACAGCCAGGTGATTCTGATTCCTTTGAATTTCTCAAGCGCATCCACACGCTGATGGATGAGGACACGATTCACATTCAGCAGAACCCTCGCCATTTTGAGAAGCTGTTTGAGGCGGTCGGTGTCAGCAACTCTATGCATCCCAAGAAGGTTCTTTGCCATGAATCGATGAATGAGTTTGATACACACCTGCTCTAAGTCCTGAGAAATCTTGGTGTGTGTGTGTGTGTGAGGACGGCTTGTGGCATTCACCTAAGAATAATGATGGAGTAGTCGTAGAATTGTTCTCTGACTCTGATTGGGTTCCACACAAGGGCCATCGACGTTCTGTGAGTTCAGGAACCATTGTGAGTTCAGGAACCATTTTCTTTCAGGGGCGTCTTTTGCTTTGAACCAGTTGTACGCTGCGCATCGTGGCACTGAGCTCTGCTGAAACTGAAGTTCATGCAGCAGTATCTACAACGTGTGACGCGCTGCTGCTTCGTGCTTGCATTGGGTTTTGCCTTGGGAAAACTCCACTTTTGAAGTTGATTTTTGACAATACACCGGCAAAACAAGTTCTACAGCGATCTGGTGATGGCAGTATTTGCCATCTTTCCTGTCGTGTTCTGTGGATCCAAGGCCTTGTGAAAAGAAGGGAACTTGAAACAGCCTCCATACCCATCAAAGAAAACTTTGCAGATTTAGGCGGCACAAACAAGTTTTCTCAAAATCGTATGCATTACCTCATGTATGGTGTTGGAGTCTTGAACGAAGGCACAGGTGAATTTGTTGGAAAGGAACTTGTGGAACGAGAAAGGTCCAAAGAGGACTTCAAAGGTGTTTTGCGCATGGTGTGTGAAGCTGGCAGATGCTCCTTTTGATGAGAATGGCCAACACTGCAGGCGCCTTGAACCTGCCCATTGTGATGAGCCCAATGCCAGAATCCTTTTGGCCAAGACTTGATGGTTTTTCATGTCGTTTGTTTGTAGTCACTGCCATGTTCTGCATTTTTGCTGCCATTTTCATGATGCCGCTTCTTCCCAGAGATCTTAGTGGCCAAATGGCTATGATCAAGTGAAAAATCTTTGGATGTCCAAGGCGTCTTGCATTCAAGGAAAATAAACATCATCCCACCCCCTTAGGGGGCCCCACCTTTCATGGCCGTTCCAGTTGAGCCCAAGTTACTTGACTTGCTGGAGCCCGTATTCATTCTTGATTGGCAAATATAATATGTTCAAGTGACATTCGAGACTTTGACCTCAACGATGTTTTGGAAAACCAGCAGTTAATGGCAGCCTTGACAGTCGTTCGCGAAACCATGCGGAATCTCCAGCATCTCCGCTTTCAGCCGCAACTTGCCAAGAACCTTGCCTTAGTCCAACTCATTAGAGCTGTTCATCTCCGTCTATGGAGATGTGACCAACTTCCAGTCCCATTTCTCAATTTTCGGGTCATGGGCACAGCTTTGCCGTCGTAAGAGCACGGCCGAAACGACATCAACCCCACATGAAAAGAATGAGTGCTGCGCAGCGGCTGGGAGATTGTCCAGGAGGCTTGAGGTGTCAAACGTTTTTGTGATTGAATGTGGCGCAGTCAGATCAAGCACGGTGGGCAGCTAAAGACATGCACAAAAAGAGGCAGGGAAAAAAATTCGCCGCTTGCTTCATATCGTTTCCTTTTGCGACATTGCCAAAAAACAATTTCAACATCAAATTCGGCGGGAAAAAACGCAGCATTTGTGGTTTGCAAGTTTAGGCGCCAAACAAAACAAATCAAACTTGTTGCTACATCATTGTTTACGGCTAAACTGGGAAGAAAAAATTGCAGGCTGTATATAGGTTCAATTTGACGAAGGTTTTGCTTTGCTCCAACTCACAAATATTGAAACCCCAAAACCCATGAAAAAACTCATGCAAACAGATTCAGTTGCATTGTTCGTTGGCAAGATCCCTTCCTTGTGAGCAGAAAACCCTCATCGAGTACCTTTTCTTGGTGATTCTCATGTCCTTCCAGCATCTATCATGTTTTTTCAGAATTCCAATATCTGGACAGACATGTGCGCACAGTATTGATTTCACTTCTCGGACAACCTGCCTTCTCAGTTCTTTGGGACTTAGTTAGCAACCATAGTAAAATCTTTGACGGGGTGATGTGTGCGAACGGGTTGCGACCTGGACAACCAGTCAAAGTCGCAAGCAAACATGTTTGCGCATTGAATTTGCGTGGACCACAATTTATTGTGTTTTTTTCTTGACTCGTGTTCATATGGTCTTTTGGTTTGACATAACTTGACATTTGCATATGGAACAACACCATTGGAGATTCTGATTATCCGGTGCTATCCACATGTTGCAGTTGTCCTGCCTCTGTATTTTCCTTGCTCAAGACCAATTCTCGTAGTCAGAGAAAATATCCATGGAACACCAACCTTTTCTATATGCCAGTTTCTTGACGCTCAATTTCTTGTCGGTTCGAACCCAACTTTTGGACTTTGTTTGGTACCATGACACAATCAGTCGGTTTGGTGCTTGGACAAAACTGAGGATGCGTTTGCTGAGCAAACTGGTGGCTTGACTGCATATTTTTGTCTAAGTCCATCATATTCCACTTAGATTCCATTAATATTCATTTATATTCCATTTATATTCCCTTTATATTCCATTTTTATTCCTTTTATATTCCATTCAATTCCATTTATATTCCACTTATATCCTCTTTAAATTTTATTTGTATTTTTCTTTATACTCCATTTATGTTCAAATTTATATTTCATTTATATCCCGTTTATGTTCAAATTTATATTTCATTTACACCCGTATACAATGACTAATTTGGGTTTTATTTTTTGTTGCAAGGCCCTGGTGTCGTTTGGCGGCTTTTGCCATGGAGATGCTTGCCTTCATTAGTTCTTTGTGGCCGTGGACGTCAGCGGTTTGTTTGGGGGAGCACAATGGGTTTAGTTTTATTTCGTTTGCGTTTGCCCAAGGTAGATGTGGGCGCTAACCAACCACTGGTTCGCAGAGAGGCGAATATTTTTCCCGAACATTTCGAAGAAACTCTTTGAACATCGGGTACATTGCCGTTTGCGCTGGTTGTTGTGGTAGATTCCACGATTTGGAAACAGGCTGGAAAATCCGAGACCACTGAGACTGAGACGCCTCTTGCCTCAGCATGCGCCAACTGACCAGTACAATGCCATTTTGTCGGGTTTTGATGTCAGCTGATGGTAGTGTTGTTTCCTAGGCCCAGACTGAGTGCTTCATACAAACCGGCGGCTTCAGTCGTGGAATCCAATGCAAAGGCTTGGTTTCACTAATGGTTCCGCGTATTGTCACAGACGTGTCAGATGTGTGTGTGTTTCAATTTTTGTGTTGCACCTTCAACTGCCGCATCATCGTGCATGCAATGAATTGACATCGTGGCAACCGTACGAGTATTTGGAACAGAAATATCCGAAAGGTTTGTCTTGACGCATTGTTGGAGGTGATAGAGAGCAAACAACAAGGAACTGGTCAGATTCTTGAGAGTGCAGATGGGAACCATGGAAATAGCGCTGGCAAAGAGGACAGACATTCGGGGGTCTAGAAACAGCTTACTGATTCTATTGTTTGTGCCTTTTTGTGCCATGCTTTAGCCGTTGCCAAATCAAAGCGTTCAGGGTGACAGGGCGCGTTGTCCGTTGTGCAGGACACTTCAGGAATCTATGGAGAAGCTATGGATGATGGTTTATCTCGGCAGCTCATTTGTACATTTTGACAGGTCCATGCAGATCATGAATGATCTTCGAACAAAAAATTACATGAAGTTCCGCAATGTTGGTGTTTAAACAAAAGCAGTGATATAACCCGAATTCATTCAGCCAGCCGAGCACGAATCATCTGAGGTTTCTGGTCTCAAGTCAAGCATTGAGCGAGCAGAATCTGGAATCCCTACAGATCGCCAACTGGGTGGGGAGCACAACAACAACATGTCAAGTGTAGAATAGAAAGGCCGCCAATCCTACGTATAGTATCCTAGTCACTTTTTCCTTGCCACCAGGACAATGAAACGCGAAGGACTGCAAATCATTCTTGAATCATTGAGTCGATCTTGGATGAGTTTTTTTGTGGTTTGCAGTCTTTGGCGCTTCAGTGTGTTCAAAATTTCATGTCGCTTCGCGATGAAGACCGTCCCCACCAAGAGTTTCTAGACGCTCATGTGCAGCTGTCAATGATGTCAGTGCCAAGAAAACGTACCAGCGCAAATTTCGCACATGCTTCACTACCAGAAAAACTGCAAAATAACCGTCAAAACATTTCCAACCCGGGCTCTAAGTGACCGCTATGTTGCGAACTTTTGGCCGTTAAGCGCGTAAACGTAAACGATCCAGTTTCATCGTTTTATTCTTCAATAGCATGTGAAAATACGTGATTTTTGCTATTCAAAAAAAACCGTCCAGGGCGTAAAACGCGCACCCCTAGCTAAAGCTAGCAGAGCTTCTGACGATGCTGACGGATTTGCGCAACCTCTATTGCGAGCGGATCTCATGCTGATTTTTTAAATATTTATGCAACAGTCAAGTTTCCTGTTTCAAATCTCAACCTTGCTTTCGCGGAGTATCGAGCTGGGAACAAAGCCTCCCATCGCTTCGCCTGAAACAGCTGAAGGCAAACTGCAGGCGTGGCTGTGCAATGCAATTGGTGATCTTTTGCTTTTTTGATTTGTTTGGTCTCCTGGCCAGGCCAGGGTCAACAAATTGGAGGAGCAGTTGACAAATGCCCTGGAAGTTGCCAGAGTTGCTGAAGCAGCTGCAGCTCGTCAAAAGATTTGGTGTTTTTCCCGGATAGTTGAATCAACATTCTGCACCACTGGCTTCATCCCAGGCCAGCAATGCAACTGCCATGGTGGCGAAGCAGGTTCTTTGGCTAGGGGTTTGCAAGCCACTGTGTGTTGCAAAGGCAGTGGTTCCCAATGACTCAGTGACTCGCATGAGTTCTGACAGGGTGCGCAGCTTCGAGCTGCAGACGAAAGAATCCAGGACCTGGAACAAAAAGAATCAGCAGATGAGAAGGACAGCAGCGGTGGTTGGATTTGGTTGGAAGGATTTGTACGGATTGGCGCATGTGGTTCAGAGTTCTGAGCCAATAACTCATGCTGGCGGCAAAATGTATGTCCTGCTGGGTCCTGCTGCGATGCCAGGATTTGGGACGAATGGCAGGACTGTCTTGCTGAGATTTATGGCTTCTTCCTGGCATCCATATTTGATAAAGATGATTACATTTTATTACTATACATGGAATATCATGTGTGTGTGTGAGCGTGTATATATATATATAATTATGTAATGTGATAGTAATGTATGTACATATATATATATATATATATGTATACATATATTATGTATGCAAATAGTCAAATAGTATACCATAATATAATGTAATTTGTAATGTAATACAATGTAATGTAATCCAATACAATACAATACAGTACGATACGATACGATACGATGCAATATATTATAACATAATATAGTATAATACAATATGATATAATATAATATAACATAATATCATATGATATAATATAGTACAATACAATATAAAACAAATTTATAGATAAATGACTTGCATGTACTTTGACTTGCGTGTAATTGGAGTCTTGACTTGGGGAGGAGCTCTTGCTGACGTCCCAAACTTGTTATCGAAAGATCTGCCGGACAAACGGAGTTTGATTTTCAAATCACGCTACGATGGCCTATAGGAATTGGGTCAGCGGGTTTGCTGTGCTCCGATTCTGCCTGGTTGACTTGGGAAGAGTTTGCACTGCCTGAAATGAATTGCAAATATATGCTAAGGCCAAGAACAGGTCAAATATGACTGAAGCAGAACTCGCAGGCAAAGTGGAATTGAAATCGCGATGGCGCAAACCATTGCTGCTCTGACATTGTAATTGTATTTGTCGAATCGGTTTCTGGTTTTGATGCAGTTATATCATGTTATACCACAATTTACATCAGCGTTTGAAAAATGGTTGTGAAATGCTATGAATATCGCTGCAGTTGTTACCATTGTGCGGATGGGACGCGGCTGCTTTCCTCTGGCTATACTGGGATGCCCGCTGAGTCGTTCTTTCCATGTGGCTCTCGGGTACACAGAAGCTTTGGGGAGGGCTTAGCTTGGGAAGGATTTGTGAGGCATGGTCGGTTCAAATCTTTCACTACTCCCAATTGCTGTGTGTTTGTGTCGCCTTTTCGCACTGCTCTCTCTCTCTCTCTCTTCTTTGGAAATGGTTTTGCTGGGAAGATCGGGCTGAAAGGAATCCTGCTGCAACTCGAACGTTCGAAGATAGGAAAGAGGTGATCGTTCGTCAGGTCACGTTGTGTGACTCATTAACGAAACTTGAGTGGAAGTGTTGGAGACGGTATGTAATTCAATGTTGCATTTCCATCAGGAGACTGGTTTTTCCTCGTGCCTGAGACAGCAAACAGAGCTCCTCTTTGTGGAGCCTTTTGCATAGAGTAACACACGTCCCATCACATCCACTAGGAGCCCCATGAATGCTGGTGCGAGATGTCCTGATGCCCATTTGCTTTGCAAATTTCATCCAACCGGATGTCCTCAGAAGTTGTGGAGCACGGATCTTGATTATGTTTGAAGGTGTTCTACTTCCTTGCTCCTTCCTTTGCCGGGTTCAACTCATACCATCATCCAAGTCGTCACCACCACCACCACCACAGCACCATCATCATCACCATCATCACCATCATCATCACCATCATCATCATCATCATCATTCGATGCTGTGCTTGTCACTATGATCCTCAGCATTCTGTTTTCTACCAGCAGCGGAATCCTTGTCCTGATCTCCATTTGTATCGCCTTTATTATCTTCCGATATCATAGAATTCATGGACAGGCTCCTTCCACTTTTCTTCATATTCTTTGCTTCATCTTTGTACTGGCATAGCCTGGCATACTGCTGCGTTCCCGTACGTTCAGGAAGTATTCTAATTGTGGTGTCAGTGATTTCCTTCCAGCTGCATTTACTTGATATCTCGTCTGCAAGGCATAGAACTGAAGGAGTTTGAGCTTGGAACACGCCAAGACAATGTCAACAGAGCTTGGATCCAAGTGATCTTTTGCGCTTTCCAACTGACAGATGCAGTTCATCCATGGCCTATGGCATGGCAAAAGTCTCCTTTTAGAAACGCTGTTTCCGCACAGATCTTGCTCTTGTGAGTCAAGCTGTCAACTCTTTTTGGTAGCCTGCCATGACATTTACGTCAGGTTGTCAAAGACATTGAAGGCAAAGTAGTAGAATTTGGAGGCGCTGCTGTCCATGCAGAGACTTGGAATTAAGCTGTTCGAAGAGATGTGATGGGTGCAATAGGCATGCCGGTGCTGGTTTGTCGCGACTTTCTCCTGCGTCATACTTTGCCAAGGAAAGGGCGGCTGAAGAAGCAGAGTCTGATGCTGTGAAGGCAAGAAATTCCTCTGACCTTCTGAAAGCCAGGCAGGCAAACATGAAGTATGAAGTGGACGATCTACACGCTTCGTTGCCCGGCAGACGATCACAAAAAACTGGGAAAAATGGTCATTGACTCCACAAACCAGGTCTTGCTTGTCTATTTGCCACGTTGTTTCTGTATAAAGGCCGATGGACGTGTATTATTTCTTTAGTCGTATGTAACCCAGGTCTTTCTTTTCGCTCTGTGTTAAATCCTTTTTGGTAGGGGTGATGCAACATTGCTGGCATGTCGCAGGCATGTCGCAGGCATGTCGCAGGCATGTCGCAGGCATGTCGCATCATACTGAGGCTGGAGGAGGTTTTCAAAGAGCAAAACATTACTCGCAAGGCAGAGCAGCTGTTGCTCTTGAAGGCTTTGGGTCTTGGAAAGACCATCACCCAAATCGACGGGAGCATGAAATTGGTCAACGGCAGCCTTGGCAGTGTGGTTCCTTGGCTTGCGATTGGAAACCTGTTTCGTGGATGCTTCAGTCCTGCTGGACATACTACCTCCAAACCGCAGAAGATTCGAATTTGGCCTGCTGCGCTTTTGTGACCTAGATTCGTCAAGCATTGAAATCATTGAAGCTCGCAAAAGAAGCGAAAGAAGAAGCCGATGATGCACTTGATGACGTTGAAACTGCCGGCTCTGCAGGTGGCCCCAAGTGTAAAGTGAATAAGTGCGATGAATGTCCGTCTTTTTTTTCCAGTCCACATTCCACATTCAACACACTCACCATGTCCGTCGCAGGTCCTGCCGGCTTTTCAGGAGGCTGGTGAGCTCAGGCTGCTCAGGCTGCAAGCTCTTCATTCAAATTTCGTTCCCGTGCCAGGCTACTCTCGAGTGGTCACAGCTTCTGCATCGAGTCCAACTCGTTCAGAGGCTGGAATTTTTTTCTGAAAGACAGGGGTCAAGAATGGTCAAAAGATGCAGATACTTGAGCCATTTTAGAGTTGGAGCCATTGTCAGGCTGCACAGTCGACTCAAACTCAAGGCTCTTCAAGCTCCAGTAGCTCCAGCGGCTCCAGTCAGCCTGTTGTTGTTTCTTCGGCACATCAGCTGCAAGACGGAGCTGAAAGATGGAAGTTTTCACCGATCTTAAGTGGGTGACATGCAACACTTGAACTTGCCCTCACCGAGTCCTACGATGTGGAGTATGCTGCCGTTGCAGCGAAGCAGCATGCGAAGGCAGCCTGGGAAGCAGTGCAAAACTGAGGGCTACGGTGCATCTGGCAGCATCAGCGTCAGCTAAGGGCTAAGAACAAGCAGCGTGCCGTTCTGGGCTAAGGTGAAGCAAATGCAAGCCCAGAACGGGAAGTCTCGACCGGTTTATGAGGCCTGCAAGATAGATTGCTTAAGCTCTTTCAAGGAAGGTGCTGATCAATCACCTTAACCTTCTCAACTCCAGTGCCATGGTAGGTGGCCTCCATGACGGGCGATCTTATTCAGATCATGAAAGGTCCACAAGGACCGCAAGGTGGCACTCATGCACGGTGATTTAGACATGCACACCACTTCGATATCACGCAGTAACGAAGATGGGTATGGATCAACCTTGAGGTAGCAAGCAATGAACCGACAAAAATAAATATTTTTTTTGTACTACAGGACCATTTTTGGGGAATGATCATTTTGGCTCGTAGCTTGCTAATTTGGCTTCCTTTTGAGTGATACAAGCCTTCTTTGGCGCCAGGTGCTCCCGGAACCGCAGGTGCTGCTTGGGCCCCAGCTGCAGACCTCCCACTGGTCCCACTGATGCAGATGTTGTGATCTTGGGGTCGCTACAGGATGGGGCGAGGGGGAAGCGTGGCCCTCCTGGAGTGGAAGCAGACCTCCTGGACAATTTGACGGATGAGATGAATTCCACAGAGATGGATTCCACAGAGATGAATTCCACGAATGGAACAAGCACGTGCAGAGCTTACAATGTTTTTCAGCTTCGAAAAGAGACTTCGTTTGGCAGTGGAGAAGGCTTCATTAGAAGGCACAGTAATTTCGCTCGAAAAGAGGAATTTGCACACTTCGACCATTCTCACAATTATACAGTGAATGCAACAAGAGACGAAGACAGAGGAACGGGGCAGACAAATCATGTGCTGGGGGGTGACAGGATAGTCAGGCAGTTTTTTGTTGTGACACCATGAGAAGGTGTAGTAACGGCTTTTCATTGTGCTCATGGGATATTGGAGTTGCTTCGCGACAACAACCAGCACCGAAAACTTGAAGTCCTGAGTTGATGTGCAATGCTGGTGGTGTTCAAGATTCTAGTAATTTCTAATATCAAAGAAAACTTCGCCGGCGCGGGCTTCCGTTATCAAACGCGTCTTGTATTGTATCAAAGATGCAGATGTTTGTCGCAAAGACTATTTCGGGAAAAAGTGCATTAAAGCTTCCCAGGTTGTTTTCAGAAAAGCTTGTTTAGGATGCAGACCATATGCAGCACCAGAAGGCTGCTATTGATTCTAAGATTGCCTCTTTGTTGCTGCTTGAAAGTTAGTCAAAGTTTTATATTATGCAAGCAGCCATTTTGAGGCCAGGTCCAACATATTTTCAACCCGTGTCTGCCTTGTTTTGAGCGGTTGAGAGGTCATCCAATCCCCCAGAAACCCATTGAGCCTCATTGAGCCTCATTGAGCCTCATTGAGCCTCTTGCAACATTCAATGAAGTCTTGGTCCGCTTCGTTGGTGTGGTTCGTTACAACAACTCATCAACACAGGCTCTGAATCAGCTCAGAACCCTCCAAATGGGTTTAGGATAGGGGACCTCAATGACAGAAAGTATACCCCAACACTCCCCAACATAGCTTTGGCATAGGTTTGGCCTGAAGGTTTGAAAAGGTTTGAAAAGGTCAATGTGGCAAAACATGCGCATCTGTAGGTGTTTTGAATGTTCCGTTGACACTGACATGCAAGTATTTGTATAACAGCCTATCTTGACCCAGTTCAGTCTGTACCGGCCAGTTGGACCCTGCATTCATTTTTTTTGCCGTCTGTAAAAAACATCGAAAACCACAGGATGTTGGAACGAGAAAGGCCCCTCCACAGCTATAGCACTTGCACTGTAATGCTGACGTGTGGCGCATGCCTAGATTAAACTCTTAGGCACTTTCAGCGAGGGCGGATTTGCTTTATCGCGGGCTTCAAGTAGGATAGCCCCGCGAGCGTGAAACTCCAAAGCACAAAACCCCGCAAAAGAGCTTACGGAGGTACCAGGACTAATTAAGTTTTGCGAAACACCGTGGAATCCCAAAAATATCATGCACCTCCAATGAAGTCCAATTATGGACCTCCATGGACCTTTCATTGTTCTGGCAATCCACTGCCGGAGCTGGAGTAATTACATTTTAGTTCAGGACGGGAGTGAAAGCTGTGAAAGATCCATTGTAGTATTGTAGTATTGAATAGGACAGAGTAGGACTGCAGGTTTTGGCCGGTTTTGACAGCTCAAGTGGGTTGCAAGCTGCACAGAGCGTCACACAGGAGGCTGACTTCACGAAGCGACAGGTAAATAAAGACAAGTCAGGACATTCTACTTAGCGCTTTTTTGAGGAGGCCTCCTTAAATTGTATCCGGCGTAGTGCAAAGGCGACACCACAGGTAAGAAGGGATTTCGAAGCGACACCGGCCTGTGCAAATGAGATGCAACGGGAATGGACAATTAGACAATCTTATTAGCCTGTAATGTAAATGGCCCACAAGCCTCTGGAGTCTGTGAAGCGTTTGGAATGCCATTTTTTTTACATCAAAATCGGCGGGTTGTCGTTAATTCATTTGAGAGGATGTCAGTACTGCCTGTCGTTTCAAGGTCAAGGTCAATTGTGCACGTTCCACACAGTGCTCCAAAAGGGGCAAGCATTCCCCTATATTTTGGGGCTTTGGCTGTACCTTGGCCGAAAAAATCCTGCAAGGTATTCTGCAAAGCATCCTGCCACATTGCTGCATCTTGGCCACTCTTGGCCATAGTCAGTGGAGGATCTTGATCTGAGTTCTTCGACCAAGGCAAATCTTATAGTGCTCTGGCTTCTCTACAAATCTGTCGATGTCATTCTGGCCACAGGTTCGCTGCTTGTTGACAGACAACTCATGATCAGTCGATGCCATTCTTGTTTGAGGAGACCTGTCAGCCCGACCGTGGAAGAAGGCCGCAAGACACAGATGACGCAATTCCCAAGTTGGGTTGGTCTATGTGGCCCAGAGTTTACAGACAGGGTCTATCAGGATTCCCTATTGGAGCGAGGTTTTATATTGCTGTTTTTTTCGGTGTTTTCAGACCCCAAATTGGCTTGGGATTTCTTGTAGGGACAACCTTCCCCCGGATCCAGGCTGCGTGAACTTCATGTCCGAAATTGTGCATACAACTTGAACAAAAAGTTGCCAAAGACAGAAATAAAATGGCTTTGAACAAACGATACATTAAATTATTGAGTAGATAGATGAAAGCGGTTTTACGGGCCCTACAAAGAATCGTTCTGAATTCCATGTACTGCAAGCATTTGGTGTAATTACGGTGAGCTTGGAAATGCTTGAGGCTTCCCCAAACTTTGTCGAACAGTCTTCCAAAAACTTGACCGATAGCAAAGATGGTCCCATTAATTTGCGGAATTTGAATGAAACATCATATTTGAACGTTGGCGCGGAACAACGCCGAATACATGCAGCGGCAAGAACAAAGACGCCCAATAGGTGCAGCGGCAAGAACAAAGATAGGAACAACAAGAACAAACGGAAGCAGATTGGAGCAAGACAGCCCCCGCAGCATCATTTCAAACAGCAGGACAGAACCAGCAGCATCTAAAAATGGCCAGCGTTGACGAAAATACCACAATGAAAATTGACAAAAACAGAGGAAGGTAAGCTACCAGAAGAAAGGAGGAGACAGCCATACAGAATAAAGGATAGAAGACGATGCGAGAAAAGACAAGAAGTAGGAAGAGGAGGGGAAAAAGTGAGAAAGCTGGTGAAAAATACAAGAAACACACATAGAATACAATACAGTATTACTGTACTGAATATGATCTCCCTGAACTGTAAATTTTTTAAAGGGGGAACATTACTATTAAAGCAAATTTCATAACATACAATCCGTATGTACATACATATTATAAAGAATATATTTAATTATCTAAACATAGTTAATTTTAATTGATATGATTGCTATTTCACCACTATTCTCATTGAATGCGGTGTGAACGGTTCTCGTTTATGTTTGGAGGGTCTGGGAGGAGGTGTGTTCGCTCGACATTGTTTTGCCGTCCGCCATCATCCGTAGCCGTATTTTGTGTGGCGAGTGTGGTACTTGATGAGATTCAGACGTGGGTGACAACATGTTGAAAATTGTGTTGTGAAAGGCGCAATACTTTTGAATGGTCTTCTTGTGGCTTTCACGTTTCAATTTGCTGGCAAGAGGTTTTGATTTTGGGCGTGTAGTGTGAAATACGGGGTGTGGGGTGTAGAGTTTAGAGTGCCGAATATGGAGTGTGGAGTGTTAAGTGTAGAGTGTGGAGTTTGAAGTGCAGAGTGCGGAGTGTGAAGTGCAGAGTGTGGAGTGTAGAATTTAGAGTGCAGAGTTTGGGATTTGGAGCGTAGAGTTTGAAGTATAAAGTGTAGAGTGTGAATTGAAAAAGTATGGAGTGGGGAGTGTAGAGTCTGGAGTGTAGAATGTGGAGTGGGTAGTGGCAGGGTGTGGAGTGTGAAGTGTGCAGTGTACAGTGCGAAGTATAGAATGTAGAGCGTGGAGTATAAACTGCAATGTTGTGGAGGGTGAGATGTAAAGCAGTGTAGAATGTGGGGTGTACAGTGTTTGAGTGTCAAGTGGGGAGCGAAGAATATGGAGTGTAAGTGTAGAGTGTGGAGTGGAGAGTGGGAAGTGTGGAGCGTGGAATGGGGGTGTAGGTTGTGGAGTGGGAGGTGTATAATGTGGAATGTGGAGTGACGGATATGGATATAATATATGATATATAGAATGGAAAATGAAAATTATAATATGGAATGGGGAAATATGGGGAAATTTTGGGAAGATATATGGAATAAGAAAAAAATAAAAAATATAAATAGGCATAAATTTAATAAATAATAAATATTAATTAAATTAATAATTATGGCAAGTATCTCTGATCACTGTCCTTTGATTCCTTTCAAGTGCATAACAGGTGCATGCTCTGGGTAGACCGACTGCTCACGGGTGCTGGCCTGCTTTCTGACCTGTTTTGGGGGTTTGCCTGTCGCTTTCCCTGCGGTACCTCAGGGATCCCCCTTCTTATCTGTGGACTTTGCATTGGACTTGTAGGAGGTTTTGGACTTTCCCTGTGGGTGTTGTTTGGTTTCTTTCCAAGGCCTGTTTAGCTTGTCCTTTCGAGCCTTGCTCCTGCCTCTTCTGTTGCCTCTGAGGTTTTCCCGGCCTCCAGGGTCAGAAATAGATTGAGGGGTTACTTGGACTTTGATGAGTAGTGGCCTAGCCGCGAGGCTGAGAGAATTGTCTAAAGAAGCCGACAGGTTGTAAGTGGCAGCAGTTGAGTTGGCGGAAAACATCTCTGAACTCTGCAATCCAGGGTCATTTGGTGATTGGGTCCTGGTTGACGACGCCTTTGATCCGCTTTTTCCAGAGGATTTTGCTGCGGTCAAAGCCCTGTTGGTTTACCACGGCCTTGAGGACAGATTTCCTCCTGTTCCCGAAGAGCTGGTCAGGATTGCTGCACGTGCTCTTTCAGGCAGTCCCCAAGAAGTGGTTTAGAAGGCCCAATCGGCTTTTAGAGCTGGTTTCCTAGCTCACATTGCCCTGGCTACGTCAACTCCCTTCCTCAAGAACGAACAGGAGAGTGAAGCCGAACATTGCCATTGGGTTGTTTTCTACAGGCACACCCCGTCCATCAACAGGAGGGTGACGAGTTTGACCTACAAGGACGTGGCTATTACAGTCGAGGATTGTGTGTGGCAGGGATTTGACTCCTTGACGGAGCTCTCCATTTTCTGTGCAGGGGCATCCGTGAGAGTGCCGAGGCTGGAAAAATGGATAAGTCCCTTTTGAAGTTTGCACGTGACGGCGACCCATCGCTTTTGGTGTGGAGAGTTCCAACCATACTAATTGATGGTGGGGTAGCAGACCTTCAAGCTTTTGTATTACCTTTACTTTCAAGGGCCGGGGGTTTCCTGGCCGCAATCCCCTTGCAAGCAGTCTCATCCGATGTTTTGTTGGATTCTATGCTGAAGGAGGAGCCAGGCACCATTGGACCCTCAAAGGAATTCACAGCACAGCTTATGGTGGAGGAGGAGATAGGCAGTGGCGTTGTTGATCTCCCTTCCACTGCCAATTTTGTGGTCGTTGACCTTGACGATACAATTTTGATGGAGATGCGTAAATATGACATCGTTACAAACTCTACTGAGCCTATTGTTCCTTATGCTGACAGCGAGCCGAATGCCTTGCCCAAGGTCATTCCGCTTCTCTCAATAATTCAGGACTGGATCGAATTAATTACAAGTGAAAGGTTGGTTTTTTTATTGAGCTCGAGAGGAGTAGGATGGCCCTACACTCCCTGCAACGAAGAAAGCTGCTGCAAAGAAGGCAGCTCGGACCACCATTACCACTTTGGCTTCGCAAATGGCTACCATGCAGCAGCAGCTTCAAGCGGTTTTGGCTCAACAAGATGTTTTGGCAAAGGGAAGTGGAGGTATGGATGGTTTTGCAAGTTATGCTCCCGCTCCCTCAAATGGACCTATGGTCGTAACCATTCCAGCTTTGTCTTCTAATCTTGGCCTTGGTACTGTACCAAAATTGGCAACCATGGCGATTGGTCCCCCTCCGCGAACCAGGGATGCGCAACTGGAAAATGTGGCAGATGCAGGGCAGCCCGTTGCTCCTATTCAGGGTTCTTGTGTGGTTGGAGGAGAAGGGCAAATGTTCAGCGCCCTTTCTCAACAAAGTGCCGCTCTGACACAGCTGGTTGCTCACCTTGCAGGGGGCGATCCTATGTCGGACTTGGCAGGGCATTCAGGGACAACAGGCCTTGGCTTGAATACCAAGGGCGTAGCAAGACGAGAAAGGATGCAGAGCGACTTGGCTCAGCGCAGTTCCAACTATTTTCTGCAGGTCCAACAGCAGCTTTTCAAGAGGATGAACCCCAGCAGAGCGGTACCCAAAAATGCAGCCGAGCTCAGTCAAGCTGGAGCCTCCATGACTGCTTATTTGGAACGGTATGGGGGCATTAGACAGAATCGAAATACAGGGCTGATCATGTGGATTCTTGCTCATGCCATGGACTCTGCATCCCAAGACGATTTCCATGGGACCAAGGAGTACCTGGCTTTGTTGGTGGCAGCTCTCGAACAGAGCACGCTGGATGGGGGATGGGGCGTAGCATACGTTTTGTCTCTGATGGAGGAGCCGCCTCAGCAGCTCTTCATGGAGCGCATGACTCCGGTCTCGGCGACTGGGAGGCCGTTCTCTCCTCTTGTCCCTCCCAGCTGGGCCGCAGTGGCACTGAGCTACCTGAAGGAGCTGGAAGTCCTCTCGACACACAAGACCGAGATGAAGTCAACTTCCAGCCCAGCTCCAAAAGCCTCGCCTCAGCCCAGCGATCCCAGCCAGACTGCGAGCCCAAAACGAAAGCCGAGGTTTCCCAAGAAACCCAAAGCTGCAGCAGAGAGCCCGTGATGGGCTTTGATGGTGGTATACCCATAGACAACAATGAATTCAGTTTTGGTTTTTTTTTGCCTGGAGGTGACGAAACTATATTGATATGTGGTGAAGTTTCGGAACATCAAAATCCTCCAGGCCGCCCTGATTTCAAAAAAGGTTCGAATTCAATCAAGGCTGGTTCTGTTTCTAGCTCTACGACAATGTCATATCCGAAGTGGTGTGCTTTGCTGGTTCCCTATGTGCTAAGATCCAGGACTCCGTTTTCAGCCTTCTTGTACAGATCCATTTGCTTGCTTCGGGGCCCGCTTGTGCGGTCTGCCTCGACACTGACCTTTTTCCCTGTGCCAGTCTTTGACCGAGACCAGTTTCGCAGGAAGCCTTCAGGTTTGTCATCCCTCAAGAGGTGCAGCTGTCACCTACATCGAGTCATCCATGTCATTTGTATGGCGCTGAATTTTTGTTTTTTTGGGGGTCGATGGGTTGCTGATGATGAACTGAAGAGGGAGCCCAACGCCGAGCACATCAACTTGTATGCAAGGCTTGCTTCTTTGATTAGGTTAGACGGCCTGGCTGAATCCTTTAATTTGGCGAAGTCGGGTCGAAAACATCACGAATTACTTGCACGACTTTCTGAACTCAGCAATCTGCTGACAGTTCAGGGTGGAGCTTCATACGGTTATGAGAAGGGTTTTGCTGGAGTAGATGTTCCCAAGGACAATTCAGCAGCGCCTGAACTGACCCCATTTGTTGATTTGGACGCCTCCCGGTTGAGAATCTATGGTAGCGGGCATTGGGATGTTACAAGCCATTTACATGATGAACTTGTGCTTGCATATCGTGAACCCAGGAGCCTTCTTGCTGACTTGCCCTGGGCGACCACCCCAAATGTCGCGACTCGCAGGAGGAGGTAGCCAAACTTGCTCATCTCTGGGATCAAGCAGGACTACTTCGGTTGTCTCGCTGCCAACGTCCTTTGGGATCTTTGGTAAAAGTCTTCAACTGTTACAAGAATGCTGAAATGCACCGCCAAATTGGCGATAGGAAAGGACAGAATTCTTTGGAGTGCAGAATTACAGGCCCTAGCAGAGAACTTCCCGCAGGTCCAGACATGATGGATCTTTAAGTTGATATGAACAGTCAGAAAATTGTGGTAATCATTACAGACCGTAAAGATTACTACCATTAGCTTTGGGTTTCTCCTGCACGGACATCAACAAATGCAGTTGGTCCTTCAATACATGCCGATCTGGTAAAAGACACTGGAGCTTATTCGGCCTTCTGTTTGCAATCCTCTCTGGGGCGCGAAAGAAAGGGTGATGCTCTCCACAATTTCACTTTCCATCCTGGAGAGTTCCCAGAGGCTGAGTTTTTACCTCTGGATCACTTCTGGATTTGCTTTGGCTCGGTCTTGCAAGGAAATCACGTGGGGGTCGAGATTGCAACTTCTGCTCATGATTACTGGCTCAGAAGACACGGCCTGCTTGATGAAACCAGCAGACTGGTGGCCTCTCGCTGCTTGAGGTCGGATAGACTTCTTCAAGGCCTTGTGATTGATGATTACTTCGCCGCAAGTATTGAAGACAGGAAGACAGACAATTCTGCAAGCAGAGCCGCAGCATGTTACAATCGAAGCCAGCTTGCATATGAAGCAGCGGACCTTCTGGGATCTCCTGCAAAGGATGTGGTAGGCGAAAACGAGGGCAAACTTGTGGGGGCTTACATAAACTCTAATGAAAGAGCTCTGAAAAGAAAACTCTGCACTGTCGGGGCTCCCGCTGCTAAGCGAATTGCCCTGTCCTTCATTACATTGGCATTATGCAGTTTGGGTTGCACCACAGATGTCTTACATCTTTGCCTTATTGGAGGTTGGGTATCTATCCTTGCTTTTCGCAGACCTATGATGTCAATATTAGCCAAATGCTATCACCTTGTTGATCAGAATGCGGTTGATGCAAACACCCCAAAATTGGTGAACCTGCCGAGAAGCGTTACGAATGAGCTTGTCATGTTAGCATGCCTTGTCCCCTTGGCCATCTCAGACCTGGGTGCCGAATACTTCCCTGTACTGTTTGCAACGGATGCCTCCTCTTTCAAGGGGGCGATTTGCTGGGCCCCACAGGAGCCTAGGGTTCTGCGGACCATTTGGAAGAGCTGCCGGTCCAAGGGAAGTTACACCAGGCTGCTTTCACCAGCTGAGCAGGTTCTACGAAACAACGGGCTTTTTGATGAGGAAAAGTTGCAGGGTAGGAGGATACTAGGGCCGGATCGCCCTCTTGCCTATGAGTTTGACTTCATTGAGGTTTTTTCGGGTGCAAGTTTGGTAACAGCGGCCATTGCTGCAAAGGGTTGGAGCGTTGGACCACCTTTGGATATTGGCATTTCACAAGAGTATGACCTTTCGTCAGTCTATATCTGTGAATGGCTCACCTTCTTTCTTGCTGAAAAGAGAATCAAAGGCGTGATGATTTCCCCTCCTTGTACAACATTTTCTATTATGAGGCGTCCTAGGTTGCGCAGCCTACAGAAGCCTTTTGATTTTGACACAACGGATGAGCAGACCTTGATGGGCAACACATTGGGGCAAAGAGGAGCTCAAATCATGTACACGGCCGCTGCAAATGATGCTGCTGGTATTATGGAAACAACATACAGCTCATACCTCAAATATTTGCCAGGTTGGCTCGTTGTTAAATCGCTCCAAACGGCTGAGGAGGTGCGTTGTGATTCCTGTGCCTTTGGCTCTGAGCACCTGAAACCCTTCCGTTTTCTGGGGGTTAATGTTTCTCTGGCCTTGCTTGCACAAAGGTGTAGCTGTAGTTGCAACCATGTACGTATACAAGGTGCACTTACAAAGGCTTCTGCTACTTATGTGCCTAAGCTGGTAGAAGCCATTGTAAACTGTTTGCACTCTGCAATGCTGGAAGTTCATAGGAGGAGGGCGGAAGCTCTTGATGTTGACATCTCAGGTTTGGAAAACCAGTTGGTCAATGAAGCGGCTTTGGCCTCCAAATGGGAAATCTTGAAATCGTGGACTTTCAGAAAACAGAGCCATATAAATATCCTGGAAGAGGCTGCAGTTCTTCGCTTGGTCAATTTTTGGGCTACCTATCGACGTCCTTTGAGGGCTTCTGCGTTGGTTGATAGCTTTGTTGTTCGAGGTGCTACCTCCAAGGGTCGCTCTTCTTCACGTGGGTTGTCAACTATACTGCGAAGGGTAGGAGCAACTTGTGTTGCGGCAGCTTTGTATCTGACCTTGCCCTATGTCCCTACGCGTTGGAACCCAGCAGATGACCCAACACGTGACGCAGTTTTGAGACCTTCGTATGGAAGCCTGGATTTTGAAAACTGGGATGATTTGGATCTGTTTCTTCTGTCCGAGCTGCCAAAAACCAAGCGTTGGGCCTCTCTATGGATGAGAATGGTTTTACGTTTGATACGGCCTGCCTGTTTGCATTTCTTAGATAGGTCTTTTTTTAGGCAAACAGCCCTTACTCGTTGTGAGGCCAAAGGTCATGAGTTTGAGCAAAAAGGCTTTGATAGCTCTCTTGGTTTCCCGGGCGAAGGCCCTGCTATGAACAACCAGCCCCAAATAGCTGGATTCCGCTCCATGTTTTACATTCTTTTGTTTGGATTTCCATCATCTCTTGGACTTGCCTTTTGGGCTCTTCTCCACTCTCTTTTCTTCGTCCCGGCCACCTGGATTGCTGCTGTGTTGAGGGGGGTGCTTTGCCTTTTCTCGGTTTCTCCTAGGGGGCTGTGGTTTTCTGTGGGTCTGCTTGCTTGTGCTCCGGTCGCGAATGCCATGCCGATCTTCCCTCGTACTGCAGGTGAGAGATCGAAAGCAGCTATGAGACAGAGCAGACCTCCGGTGCCATCAGGGCGGCCGGTTTTGCCTGTCACCATGCAACGTCGGAAGCAGCTCTTGGATGCGTTTTTCATTTGGGCAACTGAACAGGGTCTCGACATAGCTGCGATGTTCGAGGATCATCAAAAGCACATTGATGATCTTAATCTGGTTTTGGAGAAGTTTGGTCGTGCTTTGTATGAGCACGGCAAGTCCTATGGAAAATATGCAGAAACGCTAAATGCCATTACTTCGTGGAAGCCAGCAATAAGACGTATGTTACAAGGGGCATGGGACTTTGGTTTTGCGTGGAACAGGCATGAGCCTAGCCTGCATCACGTTGCAATGCCTGGCCCTATACCCCTTGTAATCCTGACAACAAGTATGCTGTGGGGATGGACGCGTTTTGCTGGAGTTTTTGCTCTCATGTGGGCAGGCCTGCTTAGACTAGGTGAATTACTTTCTGCCTATAGGTCAGATCTGCTACTGCCCAGCGATGGTGACAAAATACTTCCTTTTGGACTACTGGCGATACGTGACCCAAAAACTAGGTTTTCCAACGCGCGCCATCAGAGCGCTAAACTGGATATGGCAGACATGCTGAAGATCATCGAGCTGTTCCTGTCTCCCCTACAAGGTCACCAGAGGTTATGGCCTTACTCTGGAAGCACTCTGAGGAGCAGGTTTCATGCTATCCTTCAAGCACTGCAGCTTCCGCTGGATACAGTCAACGGAGTTAGACCCCTCGAACTAGCATCAGTGCGTGCAGGGGCAGCTACGTGGGTCATGCAGACAACAGAGAGTGGCGATTTGTTACAAAGAAGGGGCCGTTGGGCCAACCGGCGTATGATGGATATCTACGTACAAGAAGTAACTGCATTAGTATACTTGAAACGAGTTCCTGAACATACAAAGAATCATGTTCTGATGGTGTCGGACTCTTTCTTACAAGTACTTGCCAAAGCAGAGCTTTTTACACAAGCTCGTATCCCTCCGAGCTCTTGGTTTGTGTTATTTCGTGAGTAAAAGAGACGAATGAAGTTAACGGTGGAAGAAGTGGGAATGAAATTTGGTGGCGTGGCTGTGGAACTGGCCCTGTTGCTGCAATACAGATGCCTCCAGGTGCCTCAATGGAGGCTCCAGGTGGCTCAATGGAAGCAACTACGGCTTGTACTTCCATACCCAGCTGTGAAACATACGCAGCAAGCATGGATGAAAAAGGGAGCTGTGTGAAGTGATGGCAAATATCTCTGATCACTGTCCTTTGATTCCTCTCAAGTGCACCC